TGTGTTTGAAGAGAGAGAAGAACGAAAGAGGACGAAGTGTGCATCAATAAAATGCACTTTCATTTGCGGTTGGTGTAACCACAACAACAACAACAACTTTTATATTCATTCAGATATTGGGTCGAAGAAGAAAACAATAAAAACAACAAATTAATTGAATTAAATCACACAGAAATAACAACTATAACAACTACTTGACTCTAATTAAAAAAAAGTTCATGGAGAGTAGTTTGCCTAAAGATCGGAGGCGGTAGAATTACTGTCTCTTTCAGAAGTCTTCTGGAAGAAGTCGTATTGGTCATTATAAGAATAACTTTGGGGTTTTTATAGGAAGTTCTTAAAAAAAGACCCTTCACAGATCACCTTTTTATACCCTCCACCTTGGAAAGGAGGATATATTAACTTTGTCATTCCATTTGTAACATCCTTAAATATTCGTCGTAGACCCCATAAAGTATATATATTCATAATTAGCATAAAATTCTGTGTCGATTTAACTATGTCCCTCTGTCTGTCCGTCTGTCTGTTGAAATCACGACACAGCCCACATTATTTGACGTAGAGCACCAAAATTTAGCAGAGCAATTTGTATTGTGTCTAGGATGGTTGGTATTGAAAATGAGATATATCGGTCCACGTTATGGTATAGTCCCCATATAACGGTACCTCCCGATATTCGGTATTTTGATGATTTATGCCACATTTTTTCACGGATTTGTCTAAAAATTGGTATTTGTTGGCCATAATGGGTTTCAGCTCCGGTGGCGAAACATTGCATGTATGGGTCCACGATTTGGTATAGCCCCCATATAACGGTACCTCACGATATTCAGTATTTTGATGATTTTTGACACATTTTTTCACGAATTTCTCTGAAAATTAGTAGTTGTAGATCATAATGGTTCCCAGTTCTTGTGGCGATTCATTGTAATTATAGGTCCACGTTTTGGTATAGCTCCTATATAACGGTACCTCCCGATATTCGGTATTTTGAAGATTTATGCCACATTTTTTCACGGATTTGTCTGAAAATTGGTATTTGTAGGTCATAACAGGTCCCTGTACGTGTGGCAAAACATTGCATGCAGAGGTCCACGTTTTGGTATAGCCCCCATATAACGGTACCTCCCGATATTCGGTAATTTGATGATTTTTGACACATTTTTTCACGAATTTCTCTGAAAATTAGTAGTTGTAGCTCATAATGGGTTCTAGCTCCGTTGGCGAAACATTGCATGTGTAGGTCCACGATTTGGTATAGCCCCCATATAACGATACCTCCCGATATTCTGCATTTTAATGGTTTTTGCCACATTTCTTCTAATGTTTCCTTTACCCTAAGGTGGAGGGTATTAAAATGTTGGCCCGGCCGAACTTAATGTTTTTTTACTTGTTTCTAACAGAAAGCGGACCTGTAGATTCCTCACAAGATAACATTTTTTAATACCCTGCGGCATAGTTTAGAGGATATATTAAGTTTATCTAACTTCGAAATATACATTTTAGAACCAACAAAGCATACATATTCTTGATCAACATAAAATTCAATGTCGATTTAGCGATGTCCTTTCGTCTGGCTGTCCGACTGTGGAAATTACGCTAGATTCCGAACGAAATGAAGTAGTTTGATAAAATTTTACTCAAATGTGTGTTTGATCTGCAATACTTCTGGTATTGAAAATGGGCTATATAGGTTCATGTTTAGGTATAGGTCCCATAAAACTGTACCTCCCCACATTCGGCATATTGCTTATTTAAGCGACATTGTTTACCGAAATTGATTCAAATTTCGTAATGAAAGTTTGTAATGGGTACTACAGTCTATGACAGAAAATTGTATATGCAAGTCCAGGTTTTCCTGTAGCTCCTAAATATCGTTACCTTCCTATATTCGGTATTTCAAATTTCTTTCAAATTTGCCCTTACTTATGGGTACTACAGCCTGTGACAGAAAATTGCCTATGCTTTTCCAGGTCTTCGCATAGCCCCCATATAACGGTATCTCCTTATTCTGGGTATTTTTATCGTTTTGCGGATTTATTCACCGGAATTGTTTCGAATTTCGTATTTGAATATTGTATAATATAGAACCCAATATAGCGGTAACTCCCTATATTTGGTATTTTCAAGATTTTAACAAAGACCCCTTGTTCTAGTTGCAAAAAAAAAAAACTAGATTTCAACAGTAGGCGCCAACAGTGAGATCCATATTAAAATTCAGGATTTAAGCTCTATTTTTTACCCAATACCAAATTTAGTACTAATACCCCCTTATCTCAATTCCATATACCAAGAGACGCCATTTTAAATTTGAGAATTCTAGCCTTCTGAGTGAAGGGTTACCCAAATTGAAGGGTTATCAAAATTATTACCATTTAATACAATTAAAAGTACTCATATCCAAAACCAGTTCCTTCACTCAACCACAGGCACCAACAGTGACATCCAATCAAATTTCAGGATCACAGCTATACTTTTTAATCCAATACCAATTTTAGTACTTTTCGTACATTTCCAAAACTGCCTCCGTATCGCAATCCCAGATACCAAAAGAGACCTCAATAATCAATTTCGGGTTTCCAGCTCTATCAAAATTATAGTAAACGCCAAATTTAGTACCATTTAATACAATTAGAAGTACCCATATCCAAAATCAGCTCATTCACTCAACCACAGGCACCAACAGTGACATTCAATTTAATTTCAGGATCACAACTGTACTTTTTAATCCTCAAGAGACCTCAATAATGAATTTTGGGTTTCCAGCTCTATCTCTATACCCAATTTAGTACTTTTCGAAAAATTATAGTAAACATTTCCCAAAACTACCAACATATGTCCAGGCTACACATAAACAGCAGCCCTAATACCAAATTCCAGATTTCAAGCACTATCTTTTCACCCAATCCCAAATATAGTACTATTTAGTACTTTTTGTGCACTTGTGGTACACATTTTCAAAAATCACCTCTTTGCCATAAACCTACCACCAACAGTGATCTCAATACAAAATTCCCAACATTTCAGTACCATTATGTACAGTTCGTACACTTAGTACACATTTACAAAGTCACCTTTCCAACATTGATTCTCCTACCAAATTTCAAGTTTTTAAACTCTATCCCTTCACATAATACCAAATGGCACCATTTTAGAAGTTTAGTACCATTTTAGAACTTAAAGTTGGAAATTTCAAACAGCGTTTGTGTGTCTATCCTGCACTCCATCAGTGACTCTCACTGCAAATTTCAGAATTCTAGCTCATTCCCTTTTCCCAGTACAAAGAATTAAATTTTTAGTACATTTTAGTACCCTTTTAGAAAACCGAGGGGTCTTCTTATAGAAGACTAGAAGGTCTTCTTATAGAAGACCAGGTGGTCTTCTCGTAGAAGACCCAAGTGGTATTCTTATAAAAGACCAAAGTTGGTCTTCTCATAGAAGACCTCAGGTGGCGTTCTCATAGAAGGCTCTATGCGATCTTCTCATAGAAGACTCCATGTGTCCTTCTTATAGAAGACCTCAGGTGGCCTTCTCATAGAAGACTCCATGTGGTCTTCTCATAGAAGACCTCAGGTGGCCTTCTCATAGAAGACTCCATGTGGCCTTCTTATAGAAGACCCCAGGTGGTCTTCTCATAGAAAACCCCAGAGGGTCTTCTCTTAGAAGACGCCAGGTGGTCTTCTCATAGAAGAAGCCAGGTGGTCTTCTCATAGAAGACTCCATGTGGCCTTCTTATAGAAGACCCCAGGTGGCCTTCTTATAAAAGACCCCAGGTGGTCTTCTTATAGAAGACCCCAGGTTGTCTTCTTATAGGAGACTCCATTTGGTCTTCTCATAGAAGACTTCTTGTGGTCTTCTCATAGAAGACCCCAGGCCTCAATCAGTCAATCAGGTACCCCACTACGCCTTTATATGTAGATATCGGTTATTATATTGGCATATTTTAGGGTCCGGACCACAATCTCTCAGCCGGAAAGCCTGGAGCATCATATTATGAAATTGTAGTAAGTGTAGATCCAGTCTATGAAGTGGGACCCCATAGAACAATACACCCAATTATAGGTGTTTTAAAGGACCTGATGACATTTTTAACTGAATGGGTACCTTGAAGTTCGTAATAGGTAGACATTTACTGACGAAAATACTCCGTATTTTCTCTAAGTTTGGCACATGAGCCCTTGAACTCTATGCCATACTATTTGGCCATAATTTCAGTTTTCACATGGTGGAGGGCAAAAAAAGTTCGCACGACCGAACTGAATTCCATTTCTCAAGTTTTTATTTTTGTCCGAATCCTTTTTATTTCATTGAATGAATGAACTTCCCCATAAAAAAGCAACTCTTGCACTTCTGCTCCCTTTTTGGCATGGTTCCGAAGCAGCTCGACACACAACCCTTTCCAGCAACATGTGCTACCTAAAAATATATGTTTATTTTTTTTCATCTTTTGCTTCTGCTTTATGCTCCATTAATTAGGCGGGCTTATTTGCTGTCACTCAATTCCAAGAATTTTTTATTTCAAAACGAAAAAGAAAAACACGAAAAAAGGGATTTTGAAATACCCAGGCATTTGAAGGTCATTTTTTGATAGTTTGGAAAGAAGAACATTTGTTAATTCCATTAAAAATCAGATTCAGATTCAAAATCCTAAACATATAAATACATTTGAAAATTTATATTTCAATTTCTATATATTTCAAAACAACTGCATTTTTTCTTGTTCTGCATAACATCTTTATCATTAACCATAAATCATAAGTTTTGTTGGTGTTTTTTATTTTCAATTCTTTATTAATTTTAAAATTAGCTCCCAAGAAATCACAAAATTTGAATATTTCTTTTGGGGGAGGACCGATTTTTTTCTCCACACATATTTTTGTCTCATTTCACTATTTTCTGTTTTTTTGGTGTGTGTGTGTGTGTTTGTTTGGTTTCTGTTTTTCTTCTTCTAATAAATACAAAAAAATCTTCATTTTTAATTTCTTTTTTTCAAAATTCACCTTTTATTTTTGAATTCTTATTTTAAGAACACCCAACGACCACTATTTGAGAGATTAATGTATTCCTCAAATCAGCAACAACAATATCCACAACACTCGTTTATTTTTGTTTTTCTTGTATTTTTTTTTTTTCTTTTGTTTTCTTCTTGTTTCTTATTAGCCAAAATTCAAAAAAAAAATATTTTTTGTTTTGACCAAAAAATTCGTTCAACACTCAACGTTCGTCGGCCAACTTCACTCGCACACGTCCGTCTTGCGCCAAATTCAAAATTCAACTAAATTGAAATAAGCCAACATTTACGCTGCACAGTACTAGCCGGTATTTTTGTGTTGTTGTTTCGTCGTCTTTTGCAAATAGCTAGCCAACGGAAATAATGGTTGATGGAAAAACCCCTATTCTTGGGTGGTGAGTGTGTGCGACATCTATTGGTGGAATGACATGCATGTGGGGTGTAATTTAATGAGAAATTCACCACGGTTAGTTATTCTCACACCATGGACACAATAGCCGACAATTTGGCTGATAGTTGGCACAGTGTCTCTCAGCAAAGGAACATTTGCAAAGATGGACGGTGAAGTGTTTTGAAATGAAAAAAAAAAAAAAATCAAATAAAATAAAAAAATTCTAATTTGTTTTAATTCTAGAATTGTTTATATTAAAATTAGGTTAGAGTATTTTAATTTATTTATATATTCCAATTTTATTCGAGGTTCAATTCTAGGCATTTCCAAAGTTTTGGGCCACATCTTCAAGCCGAAGATTCCGAAAGTTTGTGTTTTGTAAACATTTCTCAAATTTTGGTACTCTAAAAATCAAATAATAATATTTTTTTATACCCTCCACCATAGTATGGAGGGTATATTAAGTTTGTCGTTCCGTTTGTAACACCTCGAAATATTCATTTTAGACCAGCATAAAATTCTATGTTGACTTAGCGATGTCCGTCCGTCTGTGGAAATCACTCTAGCTTCCGAATGAAATGAAGTAGGTCGATAAAATTTTACTCAAATGTCTAATATGTCTGCAGGACATTTGGTATTAAAAATGGGCCATGTAGGTCCACGTTTTGGCATAGCCCCCATATAAAGGTACCTCTCTTTTTTCGGTATTTTAGGGATTTTAGCGATGTCATTCACCGGAATTCTTTCAAATTTGATTTTTGAAGTTCGTAATGGACAGTACAGCCTAAGACAGAAAATTGTCTGTGCAAGTTCACGTCTTCATATAGCCCCCAAATAACGGTACCTCCCGATATTCGGCACTTTGATGATTTTAGCGACATTATTCACCGGAATTCTTTCAAGTTTGGTATTTGAAGTTCGTAATCGGCACTACAGCCTATGACAGAAATTGTCTGTGCAAGTTCACGTCTTCATATAACCCCCATATAACGGTACCTCCCGATGTGCGGTATTTTGATAATTTTAGCGACCTTATTCACCGGATTTGTTTCAAATTTTGGGGTTTGAAGTTCGTAAAGGATACTACAGCCCAAGACAGAAAATTGTCTGTGCAGGTCCACGTCTTCGTATAACCCCCATATAGCGGTACATCCCGATATTCGGTATTTGACTTTAGTGACATTATTCACCGAAATTGTTTAAAATTTGGTATTTGAATTTCGTAATGGATACTACAGCCTAAGACAGAAAATTTTCTGTGCAGGTCCACGTCTTCGTATAGCCCCCATATAACGGTACCTCCCGATATGCGGTATTTCGACGACTTTAGCTATATTATTCACCTATTTTTTTGAATATTGTAATGGCTTAGGACAAAAGTTACCTATGCAGGTCCATGTCGTCGTATTGACCCTAATATAACAGCTGCTTTCGGTACTTTTAAGATTTTTAGAAAATTTTTAACCAATTTTATTTATTTATTCATTTTTTTTTTTTTTTTTTTTGAAAATTGTCAAATTCGTTCCAAATGATGGAGGGTATTCAAAAATTGGCCCGGCCGAACTTATAGCTTTTTTATTTTTTTTTGTTTAAAAAGTCCTTGGAAAATCTCTCGGAAAAAAACCCGACAATTTTTGTTCAAGATTTCATTAAAAAAATTATTAAAAAAATGTTTGTTAAAAATGTCGGGAAGTCCTTGAATAGAATTGATTAGGATTCCTCAACAATTTTTGTATTAGGAAAATTTTGTTGAAACTGCAACGATTTCTAGTCAGAAGGCCTTGGAATAATTGTTTTTTTTTTTGTTTTTTAACAGGATTTTTGGTCCGGAGGTCTTTAATTTAACAAGATCTGGTAATTAGTTCCTAAAATTATTTTTTGTAAAATATCCGCTATCTTTGGTTCTAGAAAAATTTACTCATAAATACAAGGTTTCTGGTTATGAGGTCCTTGAAAAATGCTACTAGAAAAATCACTGTAAGATCCCTAAAAAAATTGTATTCAGGAGAACCTTGACAATGTCGTTAAAAAGTCGATTTTTGGATTTTAAAAAAAAAATTGAATCTTTGGCCAGATGTCCTTGAAAAGCTTTGTTGTCTGGAAACCCTTGGAAAAAATTAGATTTTTGGTCAAGAGGCCTTTTTTTTGGCGAGGGGGTCCTTGAAAAAAATTCTTAAAAAAAATCTTAAAAAATTCTTAAAATTTTTTAAAGAAAGCTTTTGATTCATTCCTAAGAATTTGCTTTTTTAGGAGGTCTTGGAGTTTATTTATGTTTCTTTTCCAGGACATATTTTAAATTGTTCATCTTGTAAGGATGGCCTTAAACACTTTTCCTTAAAAAGCGATTTTTTACAGATCCACTATTTTCAGATTTTTTTGTCAGGAACTCCTTAAAAATATTTTTCTGAAAAATTTTGTTCTAAACGTCCTTGAAAAAATATCCTTAAAAAAGCATGACCAGTGTTTTTTTTTTTAACATTTTTGTTAACGGGCCTTTGCTTTTTTTGTGATAATACAATATTTGCGGAATGTCCTTAATTGTTTAATATATCAACGATTTTTGGTTACGTGTTTCTTACAAATATTCATTTAAAATTGTCACTTTTTGTCAACAGGGCTTTGAAAAAATCTTCCTTGAAAATCCTCAATTTTTTTCAAAAGAATGTCCTTAAAAAACTTTCTACCAAATTTCGTGGTCTAGATGTCCTTGATAAAAAAAATAAAAAAAAAATAAACACAGAAGCAAATGATAAACATAAATAATCTGCTCGGGCGGTCATTGAATAACAGTCTCAAAAATCCAAGTGTTTGATCTAGAAGTCCTTAAAAAATTTAAAAAAAAACACAATTTTTAGTCGGGAAAATGTTCTTAAAATAATCCAAAGTTTTAGGTCAGAAGGTTTATAAATTCAAGGCAATTGATCAGAGATCTCTGAAATATTTTCTAGTCACTCATGACTTTTTGGTCTGGAGGTCCTTACAAATAATTTCTAAAAAAAAAATAAGTTAAAAAGCAGAAAGTTCAGCCGGGCCGAACTATGAATACCCTCCACCATTTGGAACGAATTTGGACATTTTTAAAAAATAAAATCCGTTAGAAATTCTGTTAAAATCTTAAAAATACCGAATATAGCCGTTATATTGGGGTCTATACAACGTGGACCTATATAAGCGTTGTTTGTCTTAAGCCATAACCATATTCAAATTCGAAATTTGAAATAAACGGTGAATAATGTAGTTTAAAAAAAGTACTAAAAAAAAATACCGTATATGTAGAGGTACCGTTATATCGGAGCTATACGAAGACCTGGACCTGTATAGACAATTTTCTGTCAGAAGCTGTAGCATCCATTACGAACTTCAAATACATCTCAAACAATTTGGGTGACTATTGTAATTAAATTCGTCAAGATACTTAATATAGAGAGGTACTGATGTATGGGGCCTATACGAAGACCTGCATAGACAATTTTCTGTCACAGACTGTAGTTCCCATAACGAACTCTAAATACGTAATTTGAAGTTATTCTGGTGAATAATGACGCTAAAATCTTGAAAATACCGAATATTGGGAGGTACCGTTATATGGGGGCTATACGAAGACGTGGACTTGCACAAACAATTTTTTGTCTTAGGGTGTAGTATCCATTTCGAACTTCATATACCTAATTTGAAACAATTCCGGTGAATAATGTCGCTATATGGGAGCTATACGAATACATGGACCTGAACAGACAATTTTCTGTCTTAGGCTGTAGTATCCATTTCGAACTTCAAATACCAACGTTGAAACAATTCCGGTGAATAATGCCGCTAAAATCATTAAAATACCGAATATCGGGAGGTACTTATATATGGGGGCTATATGAAAACGTGGACCTACATGGCCCATTTACGAACTTAACCTGCCTACTGGAAAAATAAACATGTGTGCAAATTTTTAGCCTTCTATCTCAATTCGTTCGAAAGATAGCGTCATTACAACAGACAGACGGACTTACAGACGGGGACATGGCTAAATCGATTTAGATTTTTACGCTGATCAAGAATATATAAACTTTGTTGGGTCTGACATGAGTATTTCGAGGAGTTACAAGCGGAATGACAAAGTTAATATAACCTCCATAGTATGGTGGAGGGTATAAAAAATTATTGTTGAAAAAAAAAATAATAAAAATAAAAAATAAAAACTCTTTTCCATTGTTGGTCGAGGTCCTAAAAAAACAATCTTAAAATAATCCGCGATTATTGAAAAAAATTCAAAATCAAAGATTTTTAATCAGGAATTAGGATAAGAGTGAATTTTGGCCAGAATATTAAATTACCAATAATACACTGTTTTTGAAAGGTATCCGTGTAAAAATTATTAATATACTCTATTTGGCCTTGCAGATAATGCCAAAACATTTATAGATAATTCATGGATTATTTATCAGGGAAGCCTTGAGAAAATCCCTGAAAGATTCACTATTTTCTATCAACATGGCCTTGAAAACATTTACTTTAAAATACACAGTTGTTTGGTCTGGAGCTTCTTATATGGTCTTAAAATGTTCTTAAAAATCCACAATTCTAGTTTGGGAGCTCCATGGAAAAAATCCAATAGTTTATGCTCAGGAACTTCTCTATTAAAAATCTACGATTTTTGGTTCAAACAATTTTTTTATTCCCATATTTTTGTTCAGAAGTCCCATAAAACGTTTTTTTTTTAGTAAAATATAAAAATTGCCTTAAAATCCTCTATTTTTAATCAGAGGGTCCTTGATTAAAATATTAAAAAACTACAGTAATCCTTGAAAAAAAAATTGAAAAATTGATGATTGTTTGTCAGGAGGTTTTAGACAAATATTTCTTTACAAAACTGTAATT